AGCAGGCGCAGCGGGCCAGGATGGGCGCACGTGGCTCGGCACCCGCCCCAGCTCGGGCTCCTCCCTGGCCGCCTGCTGCTTGGCACACTGCTACATCCCTCGGGGGTGTCCGGGGTCGAGCCTAAACTGGCAGTTGGACACCCCCGGAGGGTCCTGGATTGTGAGAGGGCGCGGCCAGGCTGAGGGACCTCCTTCCCCATGCATGAATCTGGGCACCGGGCCTCTAGCATAGAATAATATTGAATGTACACTATAATTGAGAAAGAAAAAAAAAAATATATATATAAAATTCTTGGCTCTGGCTGGGTAGCTCAGTTGGTTAGAGCATCATCAGAATGTGCCAAGGGTGTGGGTTTGATCTCTGGTCAGGGCACATACAAGCAACCAATGACTGCATCAATATGTGAACCAACAGATTGATGTTCTCTCTCTCTCTCTCTCTCTCTCTCTCTCTTTCTCCCTTTTCCTCTCTCTAAAGATCAATAAAAAAAGTCTCAACCTGATGTTACATCTGAGGCTCATTAGCGGAGTGGTCTGTGGCTATGAAAAAAGGGCTTGGAGAAGGTGAGCAGAGAGAGTGTCACTTAAATTCTCAGAGTGTCCAGAGGTCAGTGAATAGTTTTGGGTTTCTTCTGCAATTCCTGTTTCCAAATCAAACGGATGGATTTATTTCTCTTCCCTTCTGCATCCCTGCACACGATGGGCGTGACAAAAATGACCAAAAGTGGACTGTGGTAGAGGGAGGCAAGGTGACCAGATAGTTCACAAACTTGCTTATCGGACGAAGTGCCTTAGAATTGACCAAACACTGAACTATGACAGGAAATGCTGACAAAGACACACAAAGCAATAACAATCGTGGAAACGCCACAGGTCTGGGCAATCATCTGCGGCGCTGCTTATGGGCCTAGCCCAGAACACGGCCAGCACAGGAGAGGGCCGGAGGGCACCCGCTCCCGGGAAGCCAGGCGCAGGCAAGGGCATCCGAAGTTTGTTTGGCTGAGCTGCTATTTCACCATTGTCTGCCTCGTTACCAGTTATGACATGTACCAGGCCCTTCATTCCACGGGCATTTGTTAAAACAACACTCACCACGGGCCAATCTGGAAGTGCCTTTGAGCCTGCCTGTAACTTTCCACTTTAAGGGAGTGAGTTAGGAGTTCACAAGTCCTATTCCACACCTTTTCCAGAGCAAGGATTCTAAAGCACAAACCTGGGGGAATCCTTTTAGAGAAGAAAGGAAAAGGGGAAACTGAATTTCGGTTCTTAAATACCCCAGGAGCATTGTGTTTCTTGGTCCTTGGCATCAACTGAAAGGTGACAAGGGAAGTAGGAAAAGTTATTGATCCATATTGGCTAATAGAGATATTCAGCCAAAGGGCTAGGGATATATCCAGGATGGGCGTGGTCTATCTTGGGCTGTATTCCTGGCTCCTAAAATGCCTAACACATGGTAGCCCTGAAGTAATATTTGTTGAATGAATGTAGATGATTGTTTTTTGTTGTTAATCCTCACCTGGGGATATTTTTTCCATCGAATTTTTTTTTTTTTTTTTTTTTTTTTTTTAGAGAGTGGAGGGAGTAAGGATGGGAGGGAGAGAGAAGCATCAATGTGAGAGAGACACATTGATTGGTTGCCTCCTGTACGTGCCCCAACCTGGGTTGGGGATCGAAGGTACAACCCATTGACCATTGACCGGGAATTGAGCCCTCCACCCTTTGGTTCTCATACCAATGCCCTAACTACCGAGCACACCGGCCAGGGCTGTTTTTGAAGGTGCAAAGAAATGTAGTTTCAAAAGGATTTTCCGAAGTAGTTACACCTGCGCTGTCTAGTCCACGGGTTGAGAATCAACCTGATTGCCATGGAAGCGGAGGTTGCAAAATTGAAGGAGGCGCTCACTTTCAGTTTTGTGCAAGTTTTGATTCCGCAGTTGCTTGGTCCTGAGAGTGATTGCCGTCATAAACATTGCGACCTCGGGGCCTCACTGCCCTCCCTTCAGCCTGGCCCTGCTAGTCCATGTCAGGCCTAAATATATATATTCCTCTCTTCCTGGGGCTTGGTCCACTATCTCTGTTCTCAGGGAGGGACAGAGGCAGTTCCTCCCATGGGAAACCAGTAACCTCACCCCCAGGAGCTGTCAGGCCGGCCTGGGGTCGCCCAGCACTCACCGTGTAAGTGGGTAAGTCCGTTAACCTCCGGAACTTCCCTTTCTTCATTGACACAACGCAGATCGTAAAACCCGCTTCGCAGGATGGTTGTGAGCATTGAGGGTGATGCACAAAAAGTGCTCAGTAACTGGCAGCTTTTCTTGTGTTGCTATTACTGGCAGCAGTGCTGGCGATGCTGGCGGCTGCCTGGCCAGCCCTGGGGTGCGAGAGGGCACACACGTGGACTTGCCGGAAGAAACTCGCAAAGCTGCATGGGAGGCCACGCTGACCATCCAAGGAGCTCAGGTGTGGCTCTGACTACACATGTTGTAGGCACGGTGCTGCTAGTTTTCCTGCATTTTCTTTAACCTTGATCACAGACTATTCTTTTTTTTTTTTTGTCCTTTGTTTTGATTTTTAAAAAGTTTTTTTTGCTTCTTGACCACAGACTATTCTTAAGTCAATGATCTCTACTCGTAGACAATAGATGATTTTTTAAGGATAGGTCCTATGCAACTTTTGGAACATACTTATCCCAGGAAAAAAACTGCGTGCTGTTTCCTGCAATTCAAATGTAAGTGGACAGGCTGCATTTGCACCGCGGCAGAGCTCGGAGGAGGGCCGTTCCACCAGGGACCCGGTGGGCCTCTGGTGGCCTCAGGCTCAGCGCACTGGGCACCGCCAGCAGGTGAACTTCAGAGGCTGGCCTGGGCTCTCCTGGCTCCCCCATTCTCCTCCCGGCCTCCCCCCCTGACAGCGCCTCCTGCTGCTTGCAGGAACTGTGCGCATGGCAGGAATGGATGTGGCAGCTGGCGGTTCAGACGGGAGAGGCAGGGTTTAATAATAAGACTTTATTTATGACTGGGAACAGTAAACTACTGCTTGTGGGCCAACTCCAGCCCCACCGCCTGTTTTTGTAAACAAAGCTTTATTGGCACACAGCCACACTCAGTCCTGACACGGTATCGATGGCTACCTTCCCACTGTGGAGGCAGAGTTAAGTGGTTGCCATCGGCAAAGTCTAAAATATTTACTGTTTTTTTCCAGGAAAAGTTTGCTGATCCTCCTCTGAACAATGCACCGTTTTCTATGGAAGTGCAGGTTTCCTTTAGCTGGAATGCCGTTCCAGGTCATCCAGGCCAGGGAGTCCCAGGTTTTAAGATCGCACAGGTCAGAAAAATAAAATAAAAATAAATCAATCTGAGGAACGGTCATAGGCTCTTCAAGTTTTACTTTTGTGAAGCATCAAGGACTTCATAAAAGAGGACACGTTAACTACGTCATCACTGCTATTGTGAAGCGAGTAGCACAGGAAACACTTGCTGCATTCTTCTTTCTTTCACTTCTCTGAGGCTTGGTAAGAACTTCATCACCGACCAGCCCAGCCGCAGTTCACAGGCTGGATGGTGGAGCCTCCGGTCTAGCCCCGCCTTAGGCACCAGCTGCTGGCTCTGTCCAGGGAGACTCTGCTGACTCAGCGGGGGGCCTGGCCTCACTCTGGGACCCAGGCTGCTGCCCTTTGGCAGGAGGGGGTTCCTCGGGCGCCAGTGATGGCCAGAGCCAGCCGGGCATACGCTGCACTCCCAGGTCCAACTACGTGGGTCTTGCTTGATTTAATCAATATATGTCCCTTCCCTGATTTTAAAAAGATGTGTTCAGTGCAGAAAATTTGGAGGGAAATGAAAAGAACAAAATTCATCTCTACCCAGAGAGATATAAGGTTTTACTGAGACCGAGGGAGAACAAAGCACCTTCCAATCTAAAAATCCTAAAGGACAAAGTCCAGTGTATCTCCCAAAACCAAAATGGAGCCTGGCTCATGACATGCAGCAATATATATTGAAAGAATAACTAAACCTGCCCAGCCGGCGTGGCTCAGTGGTTGAGCATCAACCTATGAACCAAGAGGCCATGGTTTCATTCCCAGTCAAGGCACATGCCCGGGGCTCGGGCTCCATCCCCAGTAGGTGGTATGCAGGAGGCAGTCGATCAATGATTCTCTCATCATTGATGTTTCTATCTTTCTCTCCCTCTCCCTTCCTCTCTCTGAAATCAATATGAAAAAGAGACCTACAGTAAATTAAAAATTATTTTATAATCTGAGATACTGCCAAAATATTACAACCCACTCTTTTATGGGGAGGATATCAGGGACACTTACTTCCAGCATCAAAATCCTTTTTATAAGTACAGAAGCAGAAAAAAAAAAACCTGAAAGATGAAGGGGAGAAAGGATATAAACAAAGGAAAACTAAAATGATTATTTACTAAGAATTGCAAATGCTCATTTTCTGTGCACACCACAAAGTTCCTTTCTGTGTTCCTAGGACTTTGTGTAATTTTCAGGGACATGATAGTAGAGAGCTCATGCTTTTAGTTTATCAAAATAAACCTGTGTTCCTTTTCCCAGCCCTCAGTGAAAACTGAGACTGCACTCATCTTTATGAAAAAAGAAAGGAAGGGAGGGAGGGAGGGAGGGAGGGAGGGAGGACAGGAGGAAGAAGGAAGAAAGAAGAGAGAGAGAAAGCGAGAGAGAGAGAGAGAGAGAGAGAGAGAGAGAGAGAGAGAGGCTGCCCTTTGAAGTGCTTTATGATAAATGCCCTCCTGATTGATCAGTTCCCTTTGTAATAGATTTTCGTGTGTTAGGAATGTAAACACGACATAAATGGAGCCACTTTAAAATGAAACCAGAACTGCCCCGCCAGAGAAACTGCCTAGTGTGTCTTGGGCCTCAAATCTCTGGAATGTTAAAACAGGACAAAATAACCTCTGGACTGGGCCTAGGGCAACATTTGTCCTAAAAATCTGTTTGCAAAGATAACAAGAAAGCAGTTCCTATAACTACTGGACTGGAAACTAAAATAGCATTATTGAGAATTAACATCACTGTGTTATGTTCTCTGCACCGATGGACGTGGCTTCCTCTCACTGATGTAATTGCCACCCTTCCCTTTCTCATACATTCCCGTCGCCTTCGCCTCCTAATCGGAACACCATTTGGGCTCCCGTCTGAATCAGTGCGTCCCAAATAGCTCTTCTTATGGACCTCAATAAATGCGTGTTGCCTCTCATCTTGAAAGGCCTTTTTTATTTTTATTTTTAGGTTAACAGGAACATTCGAGGATTAGGTCAGCTGAGACTCCTGCTGCCTGTCTGGTAGAGAGAACAACTTATAATAACAAACACACAGCAGACTTGGACGAGTTACCCTCCCCACAACCTGCAAGTCTGTTGGGATCGTTCAATTCTTCAAACAGTCCCGTTTCTATGATCTCTTCCTGCCGCGCTATGGGGACAGCACCTGTTGCAAATCTTTGGAAGAACTTCTTATCTTTATCATCAAACTTGATTCCCCGAACCTCAGAGAAATCTTCAGTGTCGTCGATGTCTTTGGCATAAACCACCGAAGGGTCTGGCACATATGGGGGTTCCACGAGGCCTGCTTCCAGGCGAGGAAGGTTGATGGTTTTGAAGAAAGGGTGTTTCCTGGGATCATCTGACTTTTCTCTGTGAAGAAAGGAGATGCTCAGCCCGACACGGTAACAAACCCAAACGGGAACCGTCCTAACAATACATAGCGTGCCGCGTTCTTTTCCTGTGACACAGGTCAATTGCCAAGACAGTATAACGATGCAAAGAGTCATTTACAAAAATGATAAATTTAAACCTCACCCGCAGCTCTGCCCTATGCAGACTGTAGCCTTTTATTGTTTGCAGACAGCCTTCACACGTAGATGTGATTTGCTAAGAATCTAGCAGTTGACACGATTTTCATTCTTGGTGTTTCCATGAAACACCAGCAAACGTCAGTGGGGCCAGAACCTGTTTGCCGGCAACTTCCAGTCTTCGCCTCTTGCTCTGCCCTTCAGGGTCACAGGAACAAGTTAATGTCTCTTTCCACATTACAACCACTCACATTTTGAGAGACCACACTCACATCTCACTCACCACAGAACATGATTTCTAGGAGCCCACCTAATCCCTGCCCCTTCCCCAACCCCCAGCTGGCATGATAATCTTTAAAAAACTTAAAACAAAATCCATTCGTAATTGTCAGTAGCATGAATGAGCATATGGTTGGTGCTCAAGACTATGTTTATTTGTTATCAAATCTTCCTTTCTTATGCTAGAAATTTTTCCAGTATTTGCCTCATAATAAGGGGGAAAATGTATGTTTCCAAATGTGTACCCTCTTCTATTATATTTACCTGTTGCTGTGTAACAAATTGCCCCAACATTCAGGGGTTTACAACAATAAACATTAATTATCTCACAGTTTCGGTGGGCCAAGAATGTAGACATGGTCAACTGGGTGCCCCTGCCTCGAGGTCTCTTGGGAGGTTGCAGTAAAGTTGTTGGTCAGGGCTGTGGTCTCATCTGAAGGTTCACCTGGAGTTGGGGGAAGATCTCTTTCTAAGCTCACTCATATAATACTGGGAAGCCTCCATCCGTCATCATGTGAGCCTCTCCATAGGGTTGCCTTATTATAACATTGTCACTGGTTATCCCCAGAGCAAATGATCAGGGGAGGGGGGTAGAGTTCAAGACAGAAGGCACAATCTTTTTAATACTTAATCTTAGAAATGACATCTCATCACTTCTGCCATATTCTATTTGTTGGAAACAAGACAGTAAGCCCAGCCCACCCCTCAGAGACTCCCCATCATGTCACATGATTACTGAAGCACATTCTGCCCAGTAAGATGAGTAGAGTCTAAACACAGTAAGGATGTTACTATTAATAGTGATAATAATTAACATGTATTCAGAGCCTACTCTCAGCTAACACGTTAAACCCTTCACTTATGTTGTTGTTCTGTGATTCTGGCCTAGTCCCATCCAGAAAGGCCATCCAGACCTCTTTGGGCTTTCCCCATTATAACCCGACTGAAAAGACAGGTATGGAGAGCTGCATCCTGAGACACTATAAGGTTTCTCTTTTCTTCTAAAGGTCTTCAAGTCTCCATCAATGGAAAGAAGGAAAAATGCAGACTTGCCTTCTCTTAGAATCTACTGCCCAATATCTGTGTGGTTTATAGCCTGTAGAGTAGAAGCCTTGAGGGAGGGTTACTGAGATGAACTGAAGCTTCAAGGACATATATATTCCCCAAAAACGTATACACTCACTTTTAATAATTATAAAGGCAGTGTTTATTAAAATACATTTTACTTTCAAAATTGAGCTACCAGCTATTAAAGTGTGAATACTTTTTGGGGGTTACTATATATAGTTAGTTAGTTGTATTGAGGTATAATTTACACAGCAATATTCACCATTTTAAGGTATCAGAGAGATTGGGTGGTGGGTCTCAGACAGATTTTAAATGTGGTAGAACAAGGATAGAACTAGGATTCTATCCAAGTAGATCAGGAATGAGCCCCAGGCCTGTGTCTCACAGAGAACAAAGGAGTTGGAATGGGACCAGGTGCCAGGAGGAAGGAATTTGTACCACATTATGGCCGCTGGCAGGCATGATCACATTGTCCCAGAGGTCAAGAGGGCGCCTTAAACTCACTCTGATCAGCTTTAACTTGGAGAAACCAGGATGGCCTGGGCTTGTCCGTCAGGATGGCTGAATGCAGTCCTTTTGCAGCGTGTCACATAAGACAAGGGGTCGATGAACCACTTAGAGGCTTTCTTTAATGTTCTTCAAGACCCCCATCTAGATGCCTCTGGAAGGCAGGGCCCATGCTTTATATCTATGGGGAGAGACTATTCCATGGTGTGACCAGTGCCTGACACTGCTGGACCCGCCAGCTAGATCCTGGCTGAAGCTTGCCTCTGGAAACTCCTCTCCGAGAATGTCTGAGGGACCCCTCCCCTAGCCCCCAGGTGTGCTGCTTCTTTGAACAGAACATTGTCCAGCCCCAGGCAAGCATGTAAGGCATTTCCCCCTAATTTGGGACCAGTCACCCCAGTACCCCACCCACCCTGCCCTGTACTATATAACCCTTATCACCTGCACATGGAGATCCATGGCATCTTGCCACCGCCCCAGACATGCCTCGTGTAAGTTCCCCTAATAAATCCTTGATGTAATGTTAGAACTGTCAGCCTCTTTCTCAGTCTCTTGGCCTGGGACATTTACATAACAATGTCCTTTTCCAATTAAAGTCTGTGTTTGCTGATGCTAACCACAGAGGACGAGGCTTCCCAACCTCTACTCCTTGCCCTCTGTGTCCAGGCCACCACAAAGCTGATCACTTTGATCCAGTTCACCTGAGATCTGTAGTTAGCAATCGCATGAAGGTGATTTTACTCTTGAGTCTTCCCCGGGCTGCTTTGTGCAGGGCGCTTTTGACCCATCTCCTCTTGGACCAAGAGGAGAGGCTACTGAAGGAGGTGGCGTCTTTTGTAATAGGCAAACTGGCAGCTAGCTGCAGGGAGACTCCCCTGCTTGCTGGAGTGGAATATATTTTCGAGCATTAACAGGGGCTCTTGGGTTACTGATTCCCACATGGGGATTATAATGGATTTTCTCATACCATTCAATGATGATAAGATACCAGCTGCCCATACATGAGAACCACACTGTGGGCTTTGGTCTGCCAAGAACAGCGGGCATTAGCCTGAAACTGCAGTCAGACAAGTGCATGGGTATTTGCTCTTGCTCTGCTGCATGGGCCGATCAGAATGAAACCTGCAAAATACTAAAGTGGCCTTCACCTTTGATTTTATTGGAAAACACCATGGTTGACCCCCACCCCCCTTTCCCTCTGGTAATCACCATACTGTTGTCTGTGTCTACAGGTGTTTTTTTAATCCCTTCACCTTTTTCACCCAGCCCCCCAAACCCTCTCCCCTCTGACAGCTGTCAGTCTGTTCTCTATGAGTCTGTTTCTCTTTTGTTTGTTAGTTTATTTTTGTTCATTAGATTCCACTTCACTTTATTTTAAATGCTCGTAGGTGCACTGGGGAGGGGGCACTTGACCTCTCTGCTATGTAACATGCTCTCCAGGCATTCGCTCTGCTTTGAAGGACACCCACAAAATTAATCACATTTGAGTGAAATTTTACTGCATTAAAAAAAATTAAAAAAAAAATATTTTAGAGACAGAGGAAGGGAGAGGGAGAAACATCGATGTGAGAGTAGAACATCAATCCCCTGCCTCCTGCACGCCCCCTACTGGGGATTGAACCAGCAACCTTTGGTGCATGGGAAGACGCTCAACCAACTGAGCCACGCCGACCAGGGCATGAATGAATTTTTTAAAACTATGAAGAGCTGAAATGAAAATGTTGGAAGGTTTTCTTTTTCACTGAACAGCTGGTTTTAATATGACTCTTCTTTAATGTTGTAAACAGTTATATTCAAAACAGACGCAACAACATATGCTTTATAAAAAGGTTTGATGGAGTAGCTTCAGGCAACGATCCAGTGCTTTAAGGTGGCATTTTCTTGAAGAAGTTTGTCAACATCTCATTGTATAGACCCAAAGTGTGCTTATAAAAGTATTGAGATAGATCCTCAAACACACCAAGTGGGTGGTATTCCCTCCGGGGAAGCCATCTAACGAGATTGCTCCCCTGTGTATGGTGGCAGCTGGGTACTAGCCTTATCAGGGTGATCACTTTGTAGGTTATATAACTGTCTAATCACTACGTTGTACACCTAAAACTAATATAACATCGTACTTCAACTGTAATTGAAAAATACATTTAAAAATATGAAAATAAAATAAAAGGGACTGTTCGCTTCCCCCATTGCCTCAGTCACTGTAGGTGTGCCCTCTGATACTCAAGAACCAGATGGTAGAGATGGTCGGTGGTCACCACATCCAGGTCTCTCCTTCCTGGGCACACAGAAGACAACACTGGCCAGCCTCCTCACCGTTAGCGAGGGCCCAAGGAATGTTCTGGCCATCAGACGTGATGCGTGAAGTGTGCCACTTCCCGGCTGAGGCAGCACAAAGCTCCCAGGTTCTCTTCTCAGGCCACGGCACCTGGAAGCCACCAGATGGATGCAGCCACGCCCGGCCGGTGTGGCTCAGTGGTTGAGCGTCAACCCATGAACCAGGAGGTCACGGTTTGATTCCCGGTCAGGGCATATGCCTGGGTTGCGGGCTGATCCCTAGCGGGGAGCATGCAGGAGGCAGCCAATCGATGGTTCTCTCTCATCATTGATTTTCTATCTCTCTTTCCCTCTCCCTTCCTCTCTGAAAACAATAAAAATATATATTAAAAAAAAAAAAAAAAAGATGGAAGCAGCCAGGATCTCTGAGCCACGGCTCAGCAGGGAGATGCCCACTGTATTAGCCAGGTTCTCCAGAGGGGCAGAACCAAAGGATCCAGAATGCACCACAGTGACATAAAACTTATTTTGAGCTAAGGGCATTTGAGAGTCAACAGAGGCACATGTGCATAAAAGCAGAGCCTCCTAAAAGAACTCAACTCATCAATCCCCTCCCTGGGGATTTTCAGGAGTTTTGGAACCAGGGAAGACTGACTCATATTGCCAGTGACAGAAATCAACACCACACCAAAAATAGATATCGTCACAAAACTATCGTATCTCCCATCTATTCTCCCGAGGGCCCGTTTACTTGCCCTAAAAGACATTCGTTCTCTCACAGTGCCCACCCCCACCAGGACTAACAAGTCATTTGCTTGCCTATAAGTGCCCTTCTCCTCCCCTTCCCCTCTTAAGATGGCACATAAGCCCCCAATTCTAACCACCTCCTAGTCACATCTGCCTGTGGACTCCTGCGCATGTACACAAAGGACAATGTCTTTTGCCAGTTTAGTTTGCAGGTCTCCATTCTTGAACCTAAGAGGGTAGAGAAAAATATTTTTCCTGGTGGAGGCTTGGCAAGTCCAAATTCTTTAAGGTAAGCTATCAGGCTAGAGAGCCAGGGAAGAGTCGCGGTCCAAGTCCAAAGCTAGGTTTTCTGGGAGAATTCTCTCCTCTCCGAGGCCTTCAACTGATTGGATGAGGCCCATCCACATTCTGAAGAATAATCTGCTTTACTGGAAGCCTACTGACTTATATGTTAATCTCATTTTAAAAAATATTTGCAGAAACATCTAGTATACTGCTTGATCAATATCTGAGTACTGTGGCCTAGTCAAGTTGATACTGAGTTTCACCATCATACCACCCTCCCTGCCCATTTTAGATAGGAGGATATTGAGACTCAGAGAAAGTAACTCAATTACATGAGGTAAAACGGCCAGTACATAGCAAATGATAGCAGAGCTGGAATGGGAGTCTGGTCTGTGGCTCTAAGCCCTTGTTTTTCTCCCTCTGCCAAGGGTTTCTTCATAGGTCAACTTTTATGTTTTTTTTTTTCTTCTAAAATATCTTGATCTTATTATTCCATTGTAAGCAATAAAACTTGACTTTCCTCAAAACTAATTTTGACCATATTAACTAATCTGGCAACATCATATGTATTTACTAAATATCTGTTGACTGGTTGATGCTATTTTACAGAGACTTTTAATAGGGGAAGAATTTTCCAGAGCTTTGGCACTCAGTACTGGTGTTTCAATTTTATTTTGAGCTTTAATTTTTGAATAGATAATTTATTCATGTCGTTCAAAATTCAAAAGATAATAGGGTTCTATAGTGACAATCCTCATTTGCATCCCTGTCACCAGCCCCCAATTTCCCTTTGTAAGAGGCAACCAATCCTATACATTCCTTGAATACTCTGCTTAAAATGGTGTATGCAGCTATTTGAATTACATATTTTCTTTCTTCCTTTTTATATATGCTGCTTTGCCCCTCACTTTTTCAGTTTAAAATATATCTTAGAGATAGTTCCATATCAATTGCTCATAGAGTTTGAAAATATCAGAAATACTTAACCATATAATATGCAAATAATAATCCTATATAATAAAAGGGTAATATGCAAATCAACTGAACTGCTGAACAACCAGTCGCTATGATGCGCACTCAATGCAGGAGCTGCCCCCTGGTGGTCAGTGTGCTCCCACTGGGGGAGGGCTGCTCAGCCACAAGCCAGGCTGACGGCTGGTGAGCACAGCAGCAGTGGTGGGAGCCTCTCCCACCTCAGCGGCAGCGCTAAGGCTGTCCCACTGCGGCCATCAGTTGGACATCTCCCAAGGGCTCCTGGACTGCTAAAGGGTGTAGGCCAGGCTAAGGGACCCCTGAGTGCACAAATGTCCTCTAGTAGGACAATAATAACACAACATAATCCCAAAGCTTTATCATTAACCCACAACATTCTCCAAATGCCTGTGGACAATGCTGACATCATGAATCATCTCTATTACATGGTAATTTACCTGCTTCCTAAGCGTTGCTCTGGTTTCTTAGCCAAGAAGAGTCTGCAAATATCTTTGGCTTCCTCTGTGAAGTCATGTTGGAATGTGACCTCTTCTTTCAGGGTTCTTTGCTTTAAATCCTCTTTACTGATTTTTTCCTTGTAAACTTTGAATGGTGTTCTTCCAGCAACCATTTCATAAATACTGCATCCCATTGCAAGCCAGTCCACGGGATAGGAGTAACTCACTTTTTCCATTAGGATTTCAGGCGCCATATAACCATTGGTTCCAGCCTGAAACACCCAAATAAAAACAGAACAAAACAAAACAAAACCACTAATATGAGTGTAACAGAAGTTGTTGATTGTCTATCCAATACCCATTCTCCTTTTCTTTTCTTGTTAAGGGGTTTATTAATTTACTAGAGGCCCAATGCATGAAATTCATGCAAGAGTAGCCTTCCTTCCCCTGGCTGCCGGCACTGGCTTCCTCTGGCACCCGGGACCCAGGCTTGCTTCCCTCCGGCCGCCTGCAGGCACCCAGGACCCCAGCTTCCCTCGCAGCCCCGGCTTCGTCCGGAGGACGTCCAGTCTAATTAGCATATTACGCTTTTATTATTATAGATTTGGCATGACATTGTGTCTAACCCATTCTGTTCCCTGCTTTCCCAGCAGGCTCTGGGGCGGTCGGGCAGGACATAATGCCCACTGGGCCAATGACCTATAAAAAGGACTTGGCTGGAGTGCCTATGAAAGCGACCATGGAGCTGCTCTTGAGGAGAGAGAATCACTTGCCCTCTCTTAGTCGCCTCACCTCCTCTTTAAAGCTGAAAAGTTCAAGTGGATTCTCTCAAACCTCTAAGTTCTGCGTTTGCTTTATTTATTTATTTATTAAACAATTTTTCTCCTTTAAAAAATTGATTTTAGAGAGAGGAAGGGAGAGACAGAGAGAGAAAAACACCGATGTGAGAGAGAAACATTGATCGGTTGCCTCCCACACGGGCCCCCATGGGTGACCAAACCTGAAACCCAGGCATGGGCCCCGCTTAGGAATGGAACCTGTCACCCTCTGGTGCACAGAAGGATGTTCCAACCAACTGAGCCACACCGGCCAGGCCTGTCTGTTTTAAATCACAGGTAACAGGAAATTAGATGCTTTATTTTTTTTAAGGTTATGAGGTTGAGCACTTCATTGCTAATTTTGAATGTTCACATAATGTTATCTAGTCTATGATGTTTCCTACTCTATTTGCTGTGCAGTAATATTAACATCACATATCTTGGTCTGTCTGCCTCTGCATTAAAAAGTGAACAGTCGCTTAATCTAGAAAACCGCACATATGAAACTTCATTTAACATGCATGACCATATAATGTAGGCATACCTCTACTGACAATATATACCAAACGACCACTGAGTTAAAAAAATTATATATATATGTAAAATACACATAACACAAAGTTTACCATCTTAGTCATTTTTAAATGTACAGTTCAAGAGAATAAAGAACACTCACATCACTGTGCAATGAATCTCCAGAATGCTTTTCATCTTGCAAAACTGAAAGTCTAATATCCACTAAACAAAAATTCCCCAGCCCCTGGCAACCACCATACTACTTTCTGTCTCCATGAATTCGAATACTCTAGGAACCTCATATAACAGGAATCATACAGTATTTGTCACTTTTTGTGACTGTGTGGGATTTTAGTACATTCATTCATTCAACAAATATTTAACGAATACCTACAACATACCTTGTAATGATAAACTATGTATTTACCTGACAATATGTTTTTATCCCCCAAACTAAGTAGCTTTTGGTTAAAGCATAATGTATAACTTCTCCAGCAATTAAAAATGCAAACAAAAACACCTTAAAGTGACAATAAGCTTATATTAGAGCAGTAAGACTTAGAGCAATAGAAAATTTGATGTATCATCTGTTCCTGTCTTTCAACCAGGTTACTTAGCTTTGCAGTATGTACCTCAAATGACCCAGAAGGAAGAGAAAGGGATCTATTTTGAGATGTTCTTAGTTCCATTATTCATAATGGTCACAAGCTAGAAACACCCACAATGCCCATCAATAAAGACAACAGACCAGAGACTAGTGTTAATACCAAGAAGTGTATATATGCACGCCCCACACTGGTGATCGAGTCCGCAACCCGGGCATGTACCCTGCCTGGGAATCAAACCGTGACTTCCTGGTTCATAGGTCGACACTCAACCACTGAGCCATGCTGGCCAGGCAAATACATGTTTTTAATGTGCACAGTGTACATAATGTCTTAGGATATTAAATTTGTAATAATTTTTACACAGATAACAAGAAACAAAATTAAATGACCCAAGCACTAATGAGGCGTAATTGGCTGTGCAAGAGAATTCTGGGAGTGACTGGGGCCTGGCAGGCTGGCATGAGTCAGCATGGCACTACTGTTTTCACAGAGGCAGCGTGTATGTAGTATGTAATTTGGGTGAGCGTCTATTCCGGTTTGCCTGGGACGGTCCCGGTTTACATCTGTTGTTCTGGTGTCTTGTCTAGTTTTGCATTTGCCCGGACAAAAGGGTATTGTAAGCTCCTCTGAGGCCCAGGATATAGTTACTCATCTTTGTATCCAAACCAGGTACTTACTGCCTCCCTTGGTGCTTGCCCAACAAGACGGTGTAAACCGCAGTAAAAGCTGGTAGCTAGATGTTTTCCACTCACTATGGAGCCATTCCCTGCAGTGAGTTCTAGAGATACCAAGACATATAAGGCCTGGCGCCTGCCCTTGGGAACTTACAGGCTGGTGGAGACAGACAGGTCCAAAAGTTCATTCAATAAAGTAGGGTAAATGCCATAATGGGAGTATAAAGCCACAGGGGAGAGACTGCTATCCCGCTAACGGGCCTGTGCAGGAGATGCAGTCAGGAAAACTGTGAGGTGTTCAGGGACCTTTGAGGACCTTTAAGGAATTTGACATTCTGAAATATAAGGTCTATGGGATGCGATGGTGGGAGGGGAGGCTGGCGGGGGGAGGTGGATGAGTCTGAGAAATGCTGTAAGTCAAAGTAGCAAAAGGCAACCCCAGTCTTCCCTTTCCCTTGTATCTCTCTATTATAGGCCAGGAGGTTAAGTACTCCACCTCCCAGCATCCTTTGCACCCAGGGTGGTCATGTGATGTGAGCAAGGCGAAGGTGCTGGGGGGTGGAGGTAGGAAAAAGAAGGGAACTTACTGTAAATACATAAAAGATATGATGGATTAATGGATCAACAGAGGGATGGATAACAGATGTAAACTGGGCAAGCAAATATATGGTCACCCAGATTACGTACTATATGCGCTGTTCCTGCTCCCCTGCCCACTCCCACTGCCCCAGAATATCCTAGACCTCGTATCCTTTGTATTTCACTATGAATCTCTAAAAGATAGTCATTTTTAAAAAATCCAAAAACCAATCACGACAATACCATTCTCTCACTTAAATCACAATAATTCTTTAATATTTTCAAATATCTGGATATGCTAATGCTGTCCCAATTGTCCTATATATTTGTCTTCCAAACAGTTTGTTTAAATTTGGATTCAAATAATCCATATGATTGATGGATATGTCTCTTAAATCTCTGTGAATATATAAATTCTTCCTCTGTTACCACCCCTTGCAAGTTTTTATTGGGAAAATCTGGCTAAACTGTAGAGTTTGCCACAGTCATATTTTGCTGACTGTACTTTGGTGGTATCAGTTACATGTTCCTCTGTACTGTGTATTTCCTGTACATTGATAGCTAGATCTAGAGGCTTAATTTTTCTACTGAGCTTTTCATTTCTGCAAATATGTTTTTATTCTTTATTTTTTAAATTGATTGATTTGAGAGAGAGAAACATTGATTTGTTGTTCCACTTATTTATGCATTCGTTGGTTGATTCTTGTAATGTGCCCTAACTGGGAATTGAACCCTGACATTGGCATTGTGGACAATCCTCTAACAACTGAGCTACCTGGCCAGGACTGCAAATATGCTTTTATTAATATATAATTAGCATAGAATAATGTGCACAGGTCTCAGCTCGTCAGTTAAATAAATTTTGATAATTGAATACACCCACGTAATGCCACCTAAACAAGATATAGAACATTTTCGTCTAAGAAAGTTCCTTGTGCCCCTGTCTAGTCCATTCTCCTCCCAGGCAACCACTTTCTGGTTTCTGTCACTGTAGGTTCATTTTGTTGGTGCTTGGATTTCATATGAATGAAATTGAATGGCAGATACATTTTTGTGTCTGGCTTCTTTTTTTTTCTTTTTTAAATTGTTAACACTGTTATAGATATCCCCTTTCCGCCCACCCCGCCCACTTTGTGGCTTTTAGATGTTTTTGAGATTTATCCATGTTGTTCTGCAAACATATCAGTGTTTTGTTTTTTAATTTGCAAATATCCTTGTTCTTTTTCTGAGTGTTCCTTGCCTTATAGCATATGTTCTTGTTTCATGGATGCAATATCTTCTCTTAAATCTCAAAGGATATTAAGTATGTTTTAAAAAATGGTCTCTTCTACTTCCTGCATTGTTCCTGTTTTCTACAAGTTTGTTTCTTCTGTTTTCTTTCTTTCTTTTTTTAAAAATTTATATATTTTTATTTCAGAGAAGAAGGGAGAGGGAGAGAAAGATAGAAATATCAATCATGTGAGTCACTGACTGGCTGCCTCCTGCATGCCCCCTACTGGGGATCGAGCCTGCAACCTGGGCATGTGCCCTGACCAGAATAGAACTGTGACCTCTGGTTCATAGGTTGATGCTCAACCACTGAGCCACACTAACCTGGATCTTTCTTTCTTTTTTCTTTTCATTGTATTTTATTTTAGAGAACTTTTTTGAAATGACAAGTGATCTTTGACGATTTGTTCACATGTAAGAGTGAACACTAAAAAGCTAGCATGAAGCTGATCAATGGATGGGCTTTACTGGCAACCCATGTCAATGGGGACCTCACCTGTGAGTATCCATTGACCTTGTTGGGCTGTTCAGTTTCCCCATAAAGATCCTCCAGTACCCCACCTGAGAGGTGTCAGCCTGCTTCCCCTCATTCTGGGAGCTGAGGTGGGGAAGGGATGGAGGGTCTCCCTGTATTCAGTGTTTCACTATCCTCAACTCTCAGTTGGGCTGTATGTTCCTATCCAGCTTCTCTCGGGTTTAACCTCTCCTGCTGGGGTGGGAGAGGCACAGAGGAAAGCCACAAGCAACATCCAACTGCAGTTCAGACCGCGGTGGTTGGTCAGTCCTACTCTGTGTGTGTCACCCTTCC